TGCTGCTGCTGGTGCTGGTGGTCTGACTGGTCTGTGAAAACTATTGCTTTAGAGTCAATGAGGAAACAACATTTATTAAGTGCCCATGATGATTAAGGTGTTTTACATACATTGCCTTATTTAACTGGTTATAGAATCATCAAATCAATATGATTAACCCTCTTATAACTGGGGGAGTCTAGGACTCAGAGACTGAGGCAATCACCTGAGGAGATAATGGGATAGGCAGCCAAACCACAATTCATATCTCCTTCCAATTCTAACACCCATGTTTTTCTAGCACAACATACTGCTTCTTGTTGATAAAAGGAGTGAAATCTGTGCATTCTCGGCATGCTTGTTTGAAAGGAGAGAATGTACCTAAAGATGTGAACAGTGATTAGCTCAGGTCAGCAGGCTGTTAACTAAAGGATAGTGATTCTTACTGAAAAGTGGGCAAAGGCGCAGGGTCACAGAGAGGATTCATTTATCTCTAAGCTTCTGAAACAATTAAGTGGAAGTAAATTTACTGTGTAATTAAAAAATCGGGAAGAATGTGTTTAATATATAGTGCTGAATATTCTTGAATTAGTTATTATTCCTTACAGAAAACACGCATTTAAATAAAAGGTCTTAAAAGAATTATCTCATTTAAATTTAAGTTTAAAGTATCATTATTCTAAATGTCTGTGACAGTGTATACTACATCACTATTCAACCACTACTTATTGTGGTACTGAAGTAACATGATGGTCTTCAATAAAATGCTCTGACAATTATTAAAATGTTTATCTCCTTTCACAAAGCAAATCAAAAGCAATGACATTACATAATAAAATAGGCAATTTAAGTTTTAAGAAGTGATAGATTATACAGTAAATAAATTGCCAAAGATGAAGTTGCCAATAATATAAATTTCTGTCCCTTTTTTTTCTGCATATAAAAAAGGACACTGAGACACAAAACTATTGGACTGCAGACTTAAAATAGTTAATAAGGTCGAAACTTCAGAACGACAAAAAAACCCCACCCAACTCTACATGTCTATCAAAACAAATATTTTATGTAAGAAAGATTCCCTTTTAAGTACCTATATACATACCGCCATGTAATACTGTTAATCAAACCCATAGTTATATTTATTTAAATAAGAATTAAATAAACTGACCAAAATGCTGATTCTCATATCATAAAACATAAGTACTTTAAATCTCAACTTTCGGGTGGTATACTGAATATACTGGTTACTTAGACAACATTAGCAAGCATATTTTTAAGAATATATTTTCATCTATAGGTCACGTAAAGCTTTATTAAATGGTAAACACTTTTAACAGTGCAGAGATACAAGTTTTAAAAACGAACACATTCAGAAGATTTGCTGTTCAAATAATATTTTTTCAAAACCTGGTGGAGGAGTATGATAAAATTCACTAAACTGGCAATCCAAAATTGCGCTGTCATCAACTAGAGGACAGAAAAAGAAAGAAAATAAATTAGAAGCAAACACCTTAATTTTAATGAATACAAACTTATAAAATAAACTGTTTCCATAATACCATAGTGTTTATAGGTGAGAAGAATAAACACATCTGCTGTCCATGTTACAAAACATGATCCTATTGGGTAAAAATAGCCACATGAAAAATAAAATCTATCAAAAACACTGGAAGGATTTACAGCAAAATATTATTAGTAATTATTTCTAGATGGTGTGAATGTAGGTAATTTAAATTTTTTCCTATTTGCCTAACTGTATTTTTTCAATTTCATACAATTAAGATGTATTGCTTTTTAAAAATGTTGTATTTTGAAAAAATTATAGATTCAGAGGAAGTTGCAAAAACACTAGGGAGGCCTGTGTGCCCTTTGTCCAGCTTACCCCAGAGGTAATGCCTTATGTAACTATAATACATCCAAACCAGGAGACTGATGTTGTTACAGACTGCAGGACTTCTAAATGCTTTTATCAGCATTTACTCAAGAGAAATGAATGTGTACATCTATACAAAGAGCTGTACTGAATGTTCACAGCAGCTTCATTTGTAATGGTCCAGAAGTGGAAAAAACCCTAATATCCATCAACTGGTGAAGGGATAAACAAATTGTGCTATGTCCACAATGAACTATACTACTAGGCAATAAAAATGAATGCATTATTAATACATGCTACAACATGGATGAATCTTAAAATAATTATACTGGGTGAAAGAAGCCAGATTAAAAAAAGGACAAACTATATAATTCTGTTTATAGAATATCTAGAAAATGCAAGCTAATCTGCAGTGACAATAAGCTAATCAGTGGCTGCCAGGTTGGGGCTGGGGTGTGGAGTAGGAAGCAGAAGGAGGAAACTTTTGGGGTAACGTTCATTATCTTGACTGTGGCGATGATAAAAAAAAACAAAACGCCACCATAAGGCACAGCAAGTAAATAATTAGCATTAATGTCAAATAGTGATTATCCCCTGGGCAAGGAATGAAGCTATGGCGGCAGCTGCTGAAAATGTTCTATTTCTTGACCTAAGTGGTAATGATGTGGGTGTACACTTTATAGCTATTTGTTAAACTGCACATGTATGTTTAATGCACGTTACTATGTATTTCATATTTTGTAATAAATGCAGGAAAGAAGTTAAATCCTGGATTTGACATTCATGAAGTCACCAGTGCTTTTAACATGGGTGGTTTCAATATGCAAGAATACTTACCTAAGTTGAATTTAAAAACACACTTTTCCATGCAAAGACACAGAAGGTAAAAATCATGAAAAAGTAATTTTTAGAAAAAAAGAAGACTAATGAAAACTTTAAAAAGTAAGTCACAAGCTTTGGTTATCATATTGTTAAATATTTACATTTGTTATTGTATATAAGAGATCTTTAAAAAGTTCATGGAAAGATTTGTACTATCTTTTAATTCTACTTTTCCATGAACTTTTTGAACTAGACTCATACTTTTCTGACATCTCAGTCTGTCATCACTAACACTGCTAGTTTTACAAGCTACTACAAAAAAGTTAATAGTTTTTATTATGACCCAAATCTACGAACTTAAAAGTAATTAAATGAGAAAATATTTTTAGACTTACTAAAACTACAGACAGAAAAAATCATATCTGTTGATTTAAAGTTGGTAACATAAAAACATAAAGCAGAGTTTGGTTATGTTTTTTAAAAAAAGAGAGAGACCTTAGTTTTTAGAGATACACATAAAATATTTATAAATAAAATGATATAATGTCTGGCATTTGCCTCAGAATAATCCAAGGAGGGGAGATGAGGAACAGGAGGGGCATTGGGAGAGGGGGTAGATGAAACTGGATTGGCTACAAGTTAATTGTCTGAAGCTGGGTGATGGGTACATGAGGGTTCAGTATACTATTCTCTGTACTTCTGTATATGTTTGAAATTTTCTATAATAAAAATTAAAGTAATTAAGTGGTATAGAGTCTCTTAAGTAACCCAGTTCTTAGAGGGATACCCTTGTACAGAAATGATAGCACTTATACACATATGGCTATTAAAAGCAAAACAATCAACATGAAACTATTTTAAGTCACAATTTCTCTCAGAAGAGCTTTAACATTGAGGTAATTTTATAAAGGTAATGAATGCTCAATCTACATAAAATTCCCATCCCTGGTTCCAAAATATTCCTTGTATTTACATTTCCTGGTCATCTTATCCTAGCTAATAATTGGCAGAAAGATCTCTGTAAACTCCGTAAAGTTTTTTGGAACTTTCTAGAATATAAGATTACATAATGAAAAAGGGATATGGTTATTGCATACTTAAGTATAATTACTGTATTTAGCAGTTTTTTTAATACATGGAGAATAAAAATTATCCTTAATTCTGCAAAGTGGGATTGTAATATCCTATTGAGTACATTCCATATAAAAAGGTCTTTACTGGGCCCGCCTGTGGCTCACTCGGGAGAGTGTGGTGCTGATAACACCAAGGCCACGGGTTCGGATCCCATATAGAGATGGCCGGTTTGCTCACCGGGTGAGCGTGGTGCTGACAACACCAAGTCAAGGGTTAAGATCCCCTTACCGGTCATCTTTTAAAAAAAAAAAAAAAAAAAAAGGTCTTTACTAACAACTTGTTCAGACTTCTGAATGGTAGCTGTAAAATTAATATAAATGCCAAGCCAAAGTTAACACACATCTGATAATACATTAGAAATATTTTAGCTTACCATAAACAACTGGATACACTGTCCCTCGTATACCTGATGCCGGACAATGCATGTTTTTTCCATTCAAATATACATTTAATTCTACATGGTCATATGTAATACCCTATAAAGGAAAGAAAAAATTAAAAAGGATGAAAATACAAATGTTTCATAAAAACCTGAATAGTCAGAAAGCTCTGACTGGGAAGCAAGAAAACACAAAAAAACCAAGCATAGGGACACAAAAAAACCAAGCATAGGGTCACAATAGTTTTCGTTAAGGGTTTACAATTTGGTAGAATTCTACTTGAGCTAAAAAAAAATTAGTAGTGATTAGACAGGGGAAAAACATCAGGTAAAATCCCAAGAGTCCACATTAGAGATAAAACAAATGACAACAGTTTAAATTCTAGTGTTATATTTAGATAATATGGATTTTGTATTTTGAATATTCAAATGATATAAGTACTACACACAATGAACAGAGATCTTTTAAACTCATACAGAAAACACTGTTCTCTATAGAATTTGATCTTAAGGGGAGAAACAATGAGGTTTTCACCATTAGGGCTTACTACCTGTCACTATTTTCAAATTGTGAAGAAATGTCCTTATATAACTTATTTCTAAAAAGTAATAATACATTTCCCTATCTCTTTATTCTGGTTTCAAATACGTTAAGTGTATTACCAAGGTAACACTGGTGTTTACAACTGAATATAATGATAATTAGTATCAAGTTAAAAAAAAAAAAGAAAAACAATAATTCAAAAGATTTTAAAAAAACAATGGAATAAAAACATATTACTTTGTATACTATGGATGGTAAAAAAAGTCACAATTAGTAATAACAATTATTATTATTAAAATGCTGGAAAACAGCTCTTTTCATGAACCAAGCACTATTCTAGGCACTTCATATGTACTCATTTAGTACTTACAACAAGATATGTACTATTATACCCATTTTTCAGATGAGGTAGCTAAAGCACAGGAAGGTTAAGCAATTTACTTAAGGTTGCACAGTTAGGAAGTGGCAGAGCTATTTAGACCCACGCAGAATTGCTTCAGAATACTCGTTTTTAATCACCATGCCATATTACCTTTCTTTAAAACTTTATATAATAGTTAACTCAAGACAAAAAGAGATCTTTTTCCCTTGAAGAATTAAGAGTAGACAACAGAAAGTTTTCAAAAGAGAAATCACAGACAAAGAAGGAAACGGCTTCAAGGATTTCTGATTTTCTGACTGTAGGTAAATTCTATCAACGTACAAGCTTTTTAGAGGTAGAAAAATATTTTATAGAACATCTAGTCTTAACTCCCCCTCTTTTCAGTTAACACAGCAAAGACCCAGAGAAGCCAATATGGTAAGTGCTATAGAAGATTTTCCTCAAAACTTAGTAAAGCTAGGGTTAGATTAAATAACGATTTAATAGTTAAGAATATTAAGAAAGATAAACAGTACATAGATCGCCTTTCGTTTTAGTTTATGTATTTAAAGATAACTGATGGCTGTAATAAGCCTTTTTAGTGAGCAGGTATTTTCATTTAAAAAACAAAAACATAATTACATTAAAAAGATGGGGCTACTGGAAATGTAGTTCAGAACAGCAGGTTGTAATCCAGGCACGCTTCACCACCTGGTGGCAGCATAAACCTATTGCAAACAAGCGAGTTTTAAACCCAAGCCTGCAGCATAACAGCAAAATCCCAGTACCAAAGAAAGAAGTGAGGAACGATGTGAGACCCCCACTCCCAGCAGAGTTTAGTTCAAGTATTTTCTAACCTAATCTATTCTATGATCTAGAAACTGTGTTTGATTCTGCCATAATGACATAAAAAAACCCTATGAGTTCTATGCATTTATCAATAATTGTGCGTAGGTTTAGTGAAAAGATTCTGAAATAAGACTGCCTAAACTATAATCTTGAAATCACCCCATATAAGAAGTTACTTAAGTTTTCCAAATCTGTAAAGTGGGGATAATAATATTATCTATTTCATAGGGTCATTATGAGCATTAAACAATTTAATCCTTGCCAGGCACTGAGTGCCTGGCCCATAGTAAATACTATAGAAGTGTTTATAATAATAATACTATTATTATTATTATTATTATTATTATTACATAGCATATTTATAAAGCTTCTCTAAAATTAAACTGAAAAATGCATTTTTTAGAATGAAATTTGCCTTTTCAAGACTGCATATAAGAGGAGAAACTAAGCATAGTGTTTCATGTATGCCTTCCTTGTTCTGCAGTAGGTCGTGTAGGTACTATATGATTACTGTATGCATATAACATGTAACCAAATGGTTGTATGATTAAGAGCTTATTTTTCTTGATTTCTCCTCAGAGAATAGTACATGACTAAAATTTTAAACACATGAGAATGTTTTTCTTGTCTTATAATCCATTTTACTTTATCCTATGCCACTATCAACAATTTGGTAAAATTTGTTCTCAAGTGTGCAAACTAGGAAGATAATATAGGAGAGTAATGCTTTACTTGTCTTGATTCTGCATATATTTCATATTTTTTAACCCTTTTATCAAAATGGGTGTGAAAACTCAAAGTCTAATTTAATAATGTGGACAGACTGAAAATGGCATTCTTAAATCTGTCAAATTGTGATATTAGTCATCTCAATGAGTGAGATGAGAGAGGGACACAAGAACAACACATGGTAGAAGTTTACAACATGAACAAAGAAAAACATTTGTTACCGAATATCCTTTCCTATGTTTGAATTTCATCTTTTAGTGTAAACAGGTTGACAGCGTCAACTTGACTTCAAGCTTCTCTTTCAAGAAATAGCTACTTGAATAAGGATGTTCCATATTATGGACATCTGACAATGATCTACAAATAGAGAACCAACTATCCAAAAAGAACAGGGAAAGGTAGATTTAATAAATGGTTTATGCCTTTTGTCCCCTTTTTTTCTTTACTCAATTTAGGAAAAAAAAATTTTTTTAAATTAAAAACTAACAGTTCTTCATATTTTTTTAAATTGCAGGAAAGAGAAAAAAAATCAGATCATAATTAAAAATCTTGATTTCCACATCCTCATTCTTTCTAAAATATGTTCTCTTTCTTTAATTCAATAACCTGGGTTTTCCTTGCCTGTGTCATCTTATTATTAGAAACTTTCCCTCATTATTCACAGATTCCTTTCAACTTTATAGCAGAGCTGGGAAGCCAAGGCTCTGTGTACAAGGGCACCTTGGCCCCAGAAGACTCTAGGACTCTGTTCTCAATCAATAGCTACAAGCCTGGACTCAATGGACAGGGCTCTTGGATAACACAGTAGGAGGAGTATGTGGAAAAGACAGAAAGGGATCTTTGGGTTACATTTTCAACAGGGTGGCTTTGGCAAAGAGTTAAATATATCCCATTTAGAATAAAATAGAAGACTTAATAAGATGTAACTGTTACTATCCTTTGCTTTTTTTTTTGGTGGCTGGCCAGTATGGTGATCCGAACCCATGACCTTGGTGTTACAATGCTATGTTCTAACCAACTGAGGTAACTGGCCATCCTTTCCTTTGCTTTCTGAAAAGAAAAACTTTGTTACCATCAAGCCTTAGGATTTTTGAGTCCAGGTCTTTGAAAAGTTCTGGAAACAAAATAATGTGAAAATTTGCTCTAAAAGATCTCCTGCCTCAAAAATACCTGATATTTCCTAACACAAGGGTCAGCAAACTTTTAAAATTGTGGGCCAAGTTTTCTCTCACATGAGAGAAGCAGGAAATGCTGACCAGCAGCCAACCTGTCACTGATTCTCCTGAGTGGAAACAACTCAGGAGAATCAGTGGTGGCTGGGGGTAGCTCTGAAGAGCAAGGTGGTCAGGCAGCAGCACCTACACCAAGTGCTTGTTCTGGAAGTTGCACCACCTCATGAGATCCAAGCCTAGTTCTTTGGTATTTGAACCATAAATTCCCAGGCAAAACTGTATATACTAAAAGCAGTTCAAGTTTAATAATGTATAGTGGAAAGCAACTCCACCAGGAAACTCACCACCACGTCTCCCTCCTGTGGAAGGCTGTTGGCTGGAAGCCTATTTTTCTCTTCATTGTTGTGGTACAGAGCTCCATCATTTCTCATCACCAGACTGTGCACATCTCGGCCAAGAGGAATCTGATTCAAGTTAACTTTCTGAGTTGCAACGCCAATACCCCAGATTCCTAAAAATAAAATAGTTTAAATGTCCCCCAAATCTGAAGACTACAAATTTAAAAGGGGTTATTTTAAAAAGGAGTGTAATCTGTTTTTAAAAGAAGTACCATATCACCACTAAACTGTTTTCTGTTAATCTTTTCAAAAAAACCTTCTTGTAACAGTAGTTTGCAAACTGTACTATGTTCTCCACAGATGTACTGCAGCCTAAGAGATAAGAGTGGGTCCTGGAGTTGCACTGTCAAGGTCTAAATCCTGATTTAGCTCTGTCGTCTTGGGCAAATTACTTAATCTCTGTTTTCTTATCTGTGGACTGTGGATTCTAACAGAACTCACCTCACAGCATTGTGCAGAGATATAATGAGATAATCTGAGTAAAACATTTAGAACAGTGTAAGTATTCCAAAAAATGGTTAAGTAAAGTACACAGTGAGTATTAAAAAATGTTAGCTATTATCGTCATAATTATTATTCTCTAAAAAGGATTTTTAAAAAGCTACTGGCTGGCTGGTTACTCAGTTGGTTAGAGTACTGTGTTATAACACCAAGGTCAAGGGTTTGGATTCCTGTACCGGCCAGTTGCCAAAAAAAAAAAAAAAAGCTACAGTTGAATTTAAATGGCCAAGAATTCTATTTCAAGCTCTGCCTCTGAGAAGTAGGAAATTGCTGTCTTCGGTCTTGCATCTATATTGAGTGACACATAATATATGCCATGAATAGCATGGAGAGGGGAAAATTAACAATAAAGTATAAAATCATTTTCTTACTCAATACCTTAAGTTGATGAATTTAAAGCCTTTTGGTCTAAGCTAACTTTTTTTTTTTTTCTTTTTTTTGTCTTTTATACTGACCAGTAACGGGATCGCAACCCTCCGTGTCGCGCCTGTACCGGGGACCGGCAATGGGATCGCAACCCTCGGTGTTGCGCCCGCACCGTGCTCAGCCAGTGAGCGGGAACCGGTCTCCACATGGGATCCGAACCCTCGGCGGGAGCGCCACCGCGCTCCCAAGCGGTGCACTCTCCAGTGTGCCACCGGCCGGCCCGGTCTAAGCTAACTTTTGAAGCAAGCAGCCAAACAGAATACCTAGAGCTCTGGATTTTGTCTCAAACTGTTTTCTTCTCAGTTTTTACAAAAAATCAGGAGAAATTTTATAAATGGAAGGTTTTAAGACCATGTCGTCAACCAGTCAATTTTTCTGGACTGAGTAAGACCATCAGAAAGTTGTGTGTCTGGACTTGACTGTCCTGGCTTCATAAATAATTTGACCTTGTACTTTCTCCTACAAAGTGCGACAACTATGAGAGTAACAGGAGGTGAGTTAATTTCACAGGACAACACTTATAGACAGGGTTCTACAGTTTTCTTACTCCTAAAGAACTGTGCATGGTTGCCTCAAGCTTTCATCACAGGATCAGTGCTACGAATTCCAACAATCCATCTATTCTAGGGTTATCATTGAGGGTAGCCACTTTAACAGAAAACCCACATAAAGATTTGCATTAGATTTAGGGCTGAAGAAAATATTTGCTTCTTTTGTGAAATAAGTATGTAATACTTGAGAAAATTATAGTAGTCAGGGATATTCTGTAGCCAGTAAGCTAACTTATAATGGCATGGAGGACAGATTCAGATTTATTCCATACACTTATGAATAAGAATCAGTATTTAAAACTAATTTAGAAAACAAGCCCCAGAAGGATATTTTATATCACTCAAGGCTAGTCAAGTAATGGTAGGATTCATTTACTTCACTCTAGTTTTCCTATTCTGTATCCATATTACTCATGCACTATTTCCTGAGAAGTTTCTTCATAATAAAGCTTTTATAAAAATAAAATTTCCCCATATAGAATACTGCCACAAGTTAACTAACCTATTATAATAATCACATAGAACTGCTATACAATTCAAGAAATACCATAAATTTTTAAAAGAGAAGTAAAGGCTTTAGACTTCTATCAGAATTCTAAATCTGATGATTGCTTCAGAAGTTGCTGAATCAGGGAATCTTAACAAGAGTTAAGAGAAAAACACATGATCAAAAGACTGATTTTATCCTGTTAAAATAGCAAGAGTCGATATGCTTGACCAAATAAAATGGTGCATTTAGATCCCATTAATGATGCTAGTGCTTTACATTTACCCAGCATGTCCTGTCTTTAAAACACTTTCGTACATATGAACAAGGAAAGATTTGTATTATCCTTTAATTCCATTTTTCCATGAACTTCTTGAAGTACCCTCGTATATAGCTCCTGTAAGGCAGAGAGGGCAGCTCCTATAAGGCAGAGAGGGCAGCTCCTATAAGGCAGCTCCTGTATTTTATAGATGAGAAAATTGGACCCAATTTAACTAAATTAGCTAATTTAACCACAATCATACAACAAGAGGTAGAAGACCCATGTCTTCTGAGTTCAGTGCTTTTTTATTACCTCCTAAATCTTTCTTATATATTGAAAATTACTCTTAATATTTAGAATTAGGACTTTTAATAGTAAAGTACCATTATACCAACCTGTGGACTGGATTTTGAATTCAAAGTAGCTTTTGTTTTGATGTAAAGGTGCACTGGCTAAACAACCTCCTGTTCCACATATTCTTCTTCCATTTTTTACAATGACAACATCTGTTCCTGAACAAAAATGCAGACACTATGTAAGGTTTTGTATTTTCATATCCAACAATCAGGGTTAATTTGTTCACTTCTGTTAGTCCACAAAAAAATAGGGATGCTATATGTACTTTGAAATATAGAAATATTAATAAATTATTTTAATATTTCATTCACTATTTTTTCTTGAGAGAACATATATATAGAATATTCATTTGTAGCTATAAGTCTTATTTAATTAAACAGTTTTAGACAAACTGTAATAACTGAATTATTTTGAATACTTTGAATATTTAAAACACTTTTAAGGTTGAAACAGACTAACTCCTTCAATTTTTAGTTAATAAATCAATTTGATGATTTCATAAATCTCTTGATTTAAACCAAAACATAAACATTTAAAAGAAACTGTAGTAAATTGGTACAATTTTCAATTCTCTCCAAATGAATTAAAACAATCTACAAAAAGCCTGCTGAGGGCCGGCCCGGTGGCGCACTGCTACAGTGTGCTGCTTGGGAGTGCGGTGGCGTTCCCGCCGAGGGTTCGGATCCCACATACAGACCGGCCGCTCACTGGCT